GCGCACGGGATGGGGGTGTGTGGGTGTGGACAGGCTTGTGTATTTTCCCTGATGAGGCATAAGTTGCTAAGGCAACACCCCAGCTTTTGGAGGTGGGTCCCTATCTTGACTGGTTTGCCCTGGAGGCTCCACCCAAAGGGCTGAACTCTGTCCAACTGCTAGGGCTTGTAAGTAAACAGTCGCTGAGCGCCTGCTCTTGTGGACCCTGTGTGAGATGCAAAAGGCGGGTCCTCACCCTCAGAGGGGGCCCAAGACAAACAGGGACCTGGCCTCCAGCTCCCTGCCAGGCCCTGCCCCCCAGGATAGTCCACGAAGGGTGTAGTGAAAGGCTTTTATCTTCTTTCTCAAGATGCAGAGCGCAGAGGGAAACAGAGGCAAGGACCAATCAGGCTGAGTCTGCCAGTGCTAAACTCCAGGATGTGGCCCTGGAGAGGGGCTGAGGCCTGAAGCCAGCAGGCCTGGCCCTGGGACTCCATGGCCAGCGTGGACAAAGGGCATCTCAGATGTGTTTATTGATACCTGCCCCCGCAGGAAGTGTCCATTCACATCGGACAAGGAGTCCGGGAAGGGGAAGCCAGGCTCTATTGGAGGAAGCGGCCCTTCCAGCACCTTGGGAAAGCATCCATGCATCCGGGGCTGGAGGCTGGAGGCCAGCACGCCTCCCCCGGGAGGGCCTGAGACCCTGCAGTGGATACCTCTCTGGCGACTCCTTCCCAGCGGCCCCAGGCCCTCCCTGAGGATGACTGTGTGCAGCCCAGACTACCAGCTCCAGCCAGCTGCCCTCCAGACTTCCTAAGGTTCAGGCTCAAGTCTTTTTGTGCCCTACCCTTGGTGCCGGCGGCCCAGTGGGGCTGCAGCAGCTGGTGCTTCCTCTGTGCCAGTCATCATTCTAATCTCTTTTACACGGATTTGCTTATTTAATCCTCCTTCATTTTGCGGATGAGGAAACTCGGCACAGAGAGGTTAAGTAACTGGCACAGAATCTCATGAAGAGTAAACGGTGGTGCCAGGATTTGAACCCAGGTAGTCTGGCTCCGGTGATCTGGTGCCGTGGACTACCCTCTAGAGCAGGGGTGGGGGACGTCTGGCCCCGTTAGGGGCGAGTTAGTTAAATGTCTGACCAAACACAGCAGGCTAATTTTTAAGCTGATAATTTTGTTTGGCCCCCGAATGATGTTATAAGTATGCCAATGGCCCTTGGCAGGAAAAGGTTCCCCACCCTTGCTCTAGAGTGTAGAAGGGGCTGGGGGCTGACCTTCTTTGCTGCAGGTGGACAGGGGCCTGCAGGCTTCCTCTCCCTCTCCCCCTGTGGTTACTGGGGTGGCTGGTTGACCCTCGCAGAGGCGAGGACCCGGCTGGAGCACTATAATTCTTCGGGGAAGGAAAAGGGGCTGGGAGAATTGGGGGCTGGAAGAAGCCGAGAGAGGCCCCTGACTCTGCGCCGAACGCTTTCCCTTCCTCCCGGAGAGCTGCGCTGTCCCCTGCCACCAGCTCCTTACAGGTGTGAGTTGGCTTCTGTGCTGGTGGAGCGGAGCTGACGGTCGAGCACAGGTAGCTTTAATTTTACTGCATCAAGTGCCTTGAATCGCAGAGAGAAGGTTATTTCCTTTTCAGTTCTCTTTTGGTCCCGATTACATCAAGGGGAAAGCCCCAGCTCGATGCCAATATGTCTTCCAAACACCTGTCATTTGCTGAGCTCCTTGAGTTTTGGTTTTGTTTTGGGGGTTGTTTTTGTTTGTTGTTGTTTTCTGCAAAGGACAGCAGGTTTGGGGCTTGGAGCCTTCCTCGGGCTATAGTTTCTAACTAGAATTTAATACTCTTATTTGATCTTCCTATTATATACTTTTATGATTTTGTTGTATTTATGGCAAGTGATACTGGCTTCCCATTTATGGCAGTAATATAAAGTTTCCTTTTAAAATCTATTTACTTGAGTAAAAGAATGAGGAGTTTTCCAGAAAAAATAAGTGTAATGACGATAGGCAAACTCTGCAGAAATCCCAAAGGTGATGAGCTAATGACTGAAGCTCAGGGTACACGGTCACAGAGTCACCCTTCGGGAGGGAGTGGGCAGCAGGCAGCCTCGCTGAGACCACGTCAGCTGGCCTGCCTGTGGCTCGCATCCCGGGGGAATGTGTGTTCATGGTCCCACAGTGACAGCAGAGACAGGGCCTGGCCCTGTGTCCCCGTGGGGAATGTGATCCCTTGTAGGAAGGTTAAAGGAGCTGAGCTTCCTTCGTCAGTAATAACTGAATTACTGGTGGGCATGACGGTGGCCACTGTCTTTCTCTCTGGGGATGGTCAGCCAAAGCAAACAGGATGAACGTAAAGATCAGTTGCAAGAAAGACCCCACTGAGTCAAGCAAACCCCGAGCCCAATTAGCCTGGAAGCTGGAAAGTCCCTATCTCTGGGGAACTTTCAGAGGAGAATCCACAGGCACCTCCATGGAAGTACCTATGGGTGCAAAGGCGGGATGAATAGGTGGCCTAAAACCTGGGGCCTCCAGCTCTGTGTGTGGGGCTCAGTCAGTGCTGGTTGAAGGGCTCACTGCCGGGTAGGCCCCATGTGTGCACGCATACAGGGAGGGGGCCCTTGCAGCTTCCCAGCAGTGCACCTCCCCCTTGACCTCTCCCAGGGAACTTCTGCCCTGATTGGGGAGGAACAGGAGCAGCCAGCCCAGTTCAGAGAGGGGTCCCCAGTATTGTGGGATGCCCCTGGCATTGGGTAGGTGCTCTCTCCTGCCCATGAGCTGGCCTGAGGTTGTTTCTTGCCTCCCCAGGGCCTCTGGGCAGAGGGTCGTAGATTTCCTAAGAGCTGACCATTGCTGCATCAGAGACTTGCGCCATGGGGTTACCCAACAAGGCCCTGCAGCTCTGTTTACCTTGAAGGGGAAGGTGGGGTCTCCCCTCCCTGGCCCCAGGGCACTGCCATGTGCTAGTCCCAGAGTTTGGGACCCCTAGGTCAGCCTATGAGGACATGGCAAGGACAGTACTTCCATAGGTCCTGGGAATGGTTACAGGGGAAGGAGAGGCTCAGCCACCCTTGGGTCTGCTGAGTCCTGGTTCCTAGGCGCCTCCCTCCAGCCATGTCACCCTGAGCCAGACCCAGGAAAGGGGTATCTTCAACTTTTCCTGGGTTCCTGAGCACCATACCTACCACCACCAGTCTCCTGGGTGGTGGCCCAACTGCAGAGCTAGAGAAGAGGCTCATACCAGCCACCTCCATCTCACCTTCCAGACATAAAGACTCTGACTTGAACAGTCCTGCCCAAGGCAACCTCTCCCCTTAGCTGGCTGGTGAGCAGGTCTTTCCAACTCACAGACCCTCCTGATCACACCTGCAACCAGGCCTCCCATCTGGCATCTCCCTGGTACCGGCACCAGGCAGTAGCATGGCTGTTCCATAGTATGCCCATATTGCAGTTAAGAATGCTGAGTCTCAGAGCAGTGCAAAACTAAGACTCCTTTCCATGGAAGGCTGCTTCGAGCCCTAATTATCGCCCTGAGCTGGGCCAGGAAGAGGTGGAGTACAAGCTGTTGGAGCAGCAAGACCTCTGGGGTGAAGGCTCCTGGCTTCGTGCACAATGGAGAGCCAGGGGCTTTGGGCCTCTCTGCTCCTGGCTTCTCTGCAAGCTGGGTCCCCAAACCCTTGTTCTCTAGAACTCCGTTTCCCAAATTGGGGCTGCTGAACAGAGAAGAGCGCAGCCAGGGGAGGGCCGGGGGAGGTAAGAAAACACAAGGGCCGCTCAGGGTCACTGGGAGAGGACGGGGCAGGGCAGTTGGAGCACGGTGCTCCTTCCTGCTTGCCATCATCCCCAGCCCCTCCTGGAAGCCTTGACCTGAGCCATGGCTTTGTGCCATGGCTTTGCCTGCCCCCAGGGTGCAGTTTAGGCAGCTCTGTCTGTGGGCTCCCTCCTCCTTGTCAGAGCCTCTGGCCAGCATCACAGTACTGAGATATCATCCCGTGTGCAGGCACTCTTTGTTTTCCAAGTTCTCTCTGCCTCTTACCCTATCCTCCCCCTTCTCTTCTTCTGACCCACCCATGAGGCCTCTGTGCCAAGCTCCCTGCCTCCTCCTGCCTCCCTCTGACTCCTTGCATGACTCACACTTTCCCTGGCCCTCTCCGTAAAGTTTAGTTCCACAGGCTGCTTTCTGCCCTGGAGACCCAGCCTCTTCAGTTCTGGGCAGGCAAGAACCGGAGGCCAGGCTGCGGGTCCTAGGGCCTCTGCCCTCCCCCAGGAGCTCCTGTGTCCTGGCCAGGACATCACCCAGAGCTGCGACAGTTTGAAAGAGGAAAGTGGCACCTCCTTGTGTTTTAGCCGAGGAAACCGAGGCCAGAAAGATGCCATAAGTTATCTAAGGACCCAGAAGGCACTCCTGGCCGAGCTGGGAACGTGCCCCACGTGGTCCCTGAGCTCAGCTTCTCTGGATGCCAATAATCATCTGACCACTCAGCTCTCAGCCATCAGACCCTTAGGATAAGGACAAGATAGGCGCCCACATCTGGGAGTGGACCGGGACCACACTGACCAGTGCCCAGCAAGGCTGAGCCAGGAGTGTCGCCAGGGGTCAGGGCATGGGCTGAGAATACCACACCCCCTGCACTCCGTGAGATCCTGGAACCCTGAGGCGGAGCGGCAGGGAGATGCCACAGGTGTCAAAGCCAGTGGCACCCCAAAACTCACGGGGCTGTTCTCACAGCGCCCATCTCCTGTTCTGCAGAAGCTCCTCTCACCCTGGGCAGGGAAGTTGGATCCGCAGCTGCTTGAGCGGCCGTCAGAGCACAGAGATGTGCCCACCACCCTGCCAGGGCACTTGGCAGAGACACCGCTGCCCCTGCCAAGCAGTCCCAGTAGCCTCCCTGCCTGGGGGGTGGGGGGAGGATGTCCAGCAGGCTGAAGGGGGCTCCCAGGGTACCCCATCTGGCCTGCGACCCACTCACCCCACCCGCTGACTTCTCCCCGTGCTCTGCCCCAGTGCCCAGGCTCTGTGAACCTTACCTCGGGAAGCAGCCAGGAAGAGAGCGAGGAGCAGAGGCCCCCAGCGCCGGCCGCAGGCCTCCGGGACTGGGGGGAAGCCCATGTCACCCTCGGTGGGGCCGGGTGGAGCGGCTGGGACGGCTGGGCTGAGCGGCGCCTGGGGCGAACTCTTGGTTTGCAGGGCAGACACCCTCCCGGCGAGTGAGTGAAGTGAGTGCCTGGAGTAGCAAGTGAAAGCAGCCAGCGCCTGAGAGCCGCCTGTTCCGCCCCCTCGCCCCACGCAGCGCCCCCAGGAGGCCATGGGAGGCACTGCTTCTAGTGCCCCGTGGGCGGGGCTTCGCGCTGACTTGCACCATAGGAGAGCCAGCCAGTGTCCCAGCAAGTCAGCTCCCCCTGATCAGTTCTAAGCCTGTGTACTCGCCCCCGTTCCTCTTTGGAGAAGATTGCATTGTTGCACCGGCTGAGAAGTGTATCTGTGTGTAACTTAGCATGATACTTAAGCATGATGGATTGTCGGCCCTTACACACCAGCCTTTGCGTTGCCTGGGGGCAGGGGCTTGTACCCTACCTCCTACAACCCAGCCCGGGGCCTGGTTTGTGGTAGGCACTCCTAGTTGAGGAATGAATGGAGAAAAAAAAACAAAATCTAGCTTTGGTGTAGACTTGACTATAGATTCCAGAGCTTGCGCCCTTGTGCACATGCACACTGAACATAGGTGTGGCACAGGTGCAGGAACACAACAGGCTTGGCACATCCCTGCACTAGGGCACAGGTAGTGTGTGCACAATATCTGGTCTTGTGTCCCATAGAAAATCACCAGTGCCCTCTCCCCCCAGACCCCAACTTCCCTTCCCACTTCGCACCATCCCACTCCTGTGCCTGGGCATCCTCGGGGCACGCGCATGCCCCCACTGCTAGTGCCCTGCTCTCGCACCCCACTCAGCACACCGGCACCACTGGCCATGTCTCTCTCCTCTCATCCAAATTCTTCTCGTCCCTCAGGGTTTGGCTCAAGTCCTTCCCCTTCACAAAGTGCTCTGACCTTCTCCTGAGGGTCCCCCTCCAGTCCTTATAGCCACACCCCTTCAACCATCACACCCGGCCTGGGGTCACCAACCAGTTGATTTCATCGGGGCTCATCTGCCCTCTGAGCTAGACCATGAGCTGTTTGGAGGCAAGGGCCTCTCCTTGATGTTCCTCAGTCCCTGGCACAAAACTGGGCACGGAGAAGGGGTTTAAAGTGATGAATAAGTGAGTAAGTGAGTTTCTAAGTGGAGAGTGGCAGTGGCAGTGGCTAGGGCCAGGGATTGAAAGAGCGGGAGGGCACAGCCATTATACCAGTTTACCCAGCCTGGCTGAAGCTCCCAGGAGCGCTGCTGGCTCATTGGGGATCTCGAGCTCCCAGGCAACTCCCGGGCTGAGGGACAGAGCCCACCTGGGTCGGGAATCATGGTAGTGGGACTCAAGAGTAGCTGGGAATTCTGGGCGCCCTGATCCGAGTCAGAGGCTCTCTGAGAGCTCTTAGACCTCGCTCAAGGGGCAGGAAAGGCTACAACAGAGGAAGGTGGGTGTCGTGCTGTTACTGGGTGACCTGTGCAGGCCCAGTCCCCCTGGACTCAGATAATCTCCCTGGGATGGAAGGCCCAGAGATTGCCAGCACACAAGCAGGTCCTTGATCATGAACCTGATCTTACGACCCCACTCCAGGAGACAGCCCAGGGCCCTTCCTGCTGGCAGAGGGTGAGCTCTCCCACCCAGGAAGGTACCAAGCCCATTGAAATCAGGTGGGTCCTGAGCCCTCTTCCACCCTGGCCATCCTCTGGCAGAGGTGGGATCCTTCAAGGGTGAGACCCTGGAGCACCTGCCCCCAACCCCTCCATTTCTTCCTGGCCTGGCCTTGCTCAAACCACCCTTGAAAGCAGACTCCCTCTGCCCCAGGGCCTAGGAGGTGGATGAGGGGAGCCTGGAACTATGGGGCGGGGAGCAATTCCCTTCCAATCCCCCCCCCCCCCCGCCCCACGCCCAGAGGGCTAGAACACCTGAGTGTAGCTACCCATGATGCTCTCCTCCACTTCCTTCCTCCACACACTTCCACCAGCTGAGCTTCCTGGTTTGCAGCGGGGTGAGACACAGGGCATTGCCCAAGGTGTGGGCATGGTCCAGAATCCTGAAGCACTGTTTTCTCAATGCCAAGGCAGGAAGGGCTCAGCTGAAAGGGCCTTCGGGACATTAACTTCCTCCTCGTAAGACTAGAGGGAGTCAGACCCCCTCCCCTCCCAAGCTCAGGCTGATCTCAGGGAGAAGAGGCTGGTGGGGCAGCCCCGTTAGACGCGCCACTCCCAGCCCCTGCAGATTGTTAGACTCGCTTCCCGGAGTCTGGGAAAGTGGGGAACCATGGCTGAGGCTGGGATCCGGCCCTTTCCTGCAAGGTGGCACTGTTGTGCTGACAGAATGGTTTGTATTAGTCAGGGTCCTGGTAGTAAAGAGAAGAGCCACTCACGGCTCAACTGAAGGTGGTTTAATAGAAGGCCTGTTACAGAGCGGGTGACGCCCCTCAGACCAGCAGCTGCCGGAAGCCCTTACCTCTCACAGAGCCACAGGGCAAGAGGAGGTGAGGTGACTGGAGCCCAGTGAGAGCTGGAGCTGTGAAAGGGGGCGCCCCGCAGGAGAAACACGGCCACTGGTGGAACTAGAGCGAGGAAAGGAAGGAGTGGGGGAGAAACCCCCACCTCTCTCTCCTCCCTCCCCACATCTTCTGCCAGGACCTCCCATCGGCCCAACCCATCTGGAAGCAGATGGCAAGGGAGCCCAGGTGAGGCAGTCCACAGGGCCATCCTCCCAGGTGGAGAAGCAGAATGGAGAGGGGACGGGGTGAGGAGCAGAGATGCCAGCACGTGGCTAACCTCTGTCTCCATGTACCTTCTCTGCTCGTGGGGTGCCGCATCAACCATTGCTCCGTAGTGCTGAGCGCCGAGTTCCAGGTGTCTACATAGCACAGGTGGTCCAAGCATCGGCCAACAACGGCCAGTCGCAGGAGAGCACGCGGCAGAAACTGTTCTTGCAGCGAAGCGTGTTCTGGGAGCTTTGTTCCTCACAGCTCAACAAATTCTGCCCATGGAATCGCCCGACACCCAGTGTCGTCCTCCTTCAAAATGCTGAAGATCGGCATTTCTTGCATTTACAGGAGCATGGGTGACGCCGCCTTGCCTTTTGTACTCCAGGTGGAGGTTCGGGGTCAGTAAAGCCCTGGCCCAGGAAAAGCTATGGGCTCGGGGTGGTTACTGGGGTTCATCTTAGATGCCAATGTTATTTTAAAAAAATGTTTCTTTATTGACAGAGAGAGACAGAGAGATGAATGAGAAAGAAACATCAATTGGCTGCCTCCTGCATGCCCCCGATTGGGGATTGAGCCCACAACCCGGGCATGTGCCCTCACCAGGAATTGAACAGGCCACCTCTTAGTACAGCGGTTCTTAACCTGTGGGTTGCGACCCCTTTGGGGGTCGAACGACCCTTTCACAGGGGTCGCCTAAGACCATCGGAAAACACATATATAATTACATATTGTTTTGTGATTAATCACTATGCTTTAATTATGTTCAATTTGTAACAATGAAATTGGGGGTCACCACAACATGAGGAACTGTATTAAAGGGTCGCGGCATTAGGAAGGTTGAGAACCACTGTCTTAGTACATGGGACAACGCTCAACCAACTGAGCCACAAGGGCCAGGCCTCTTATATGCCAGTTTTAATCACTAGGTCTCTGAACTGACAAGGATCCTGAGGTTACATCTGGTCTAATCAGTGCCATGATTGATTAGTAATGTCTGCAATGGACATGGACAGAGAGGTAGTGGTGCAAGTAGCATCTTGTACCTAAGCGGTTACCTAGATGGCTTTTGTGTGAGTGCCTTCTCTACGAGCCTGTGCCTGCCCTCCCTCTCACCCTTCTCCCTCTCCCTGAGTGAGTGCAGCCTGGAGGAACGTGCAGCTGGATCCACCTCAACCTCTCTAGTCCACTGACCAAGGAACCTACCACGTTCTCCTCCGCAGGCCACCACTCACGTGTACGTGACCATCGTGGACGAGAACGATAACGCACCTGTGTTCCAGCAGCCCCACTACGAGATCTTGCTGGACGAGGGGCCAGACACGATCAATGCCAGCCTCGTCACCATCCAGGCGCTAGACCTGGACGAGGGGCCCAATGGCACAGTGACCTACGCCATCATTGCAGGCAACATCATCGATACTTTCCATATTGACAGACACACGGTCAGCAGCTGATGGCGGGTCTAAGAAGAGGGTCACCTGGCTAAAGGGATTGGAGGGAGCTCAGTGACATCATGGGGTGGGGGCCCAGCAAAGATGGAGTCTGGGAGGGAAACTGGGGTGTGTGGGGCAGCCATTGTGGGAAAATGGAAATCCTGGGCTGGGTGGCAACAAGGGTTTCCCATCATGGCCAGGATGCCGCCCTGCTGGGGTAGTCACAGAGTCCCCCATGAAGGAGCTGGTCCCCAGGGTGGCCTAGACTCACTACCCATCGCTCCACCCTCGTTCCCTCTATGTACCCCCCAGGGTGTCATCCGTGCTGCCAAGGAGCTGGACTATGAGATCTGCCATGGCCGCTACACCCTGATCGTCACAGCCACAGACCAGTGCCCCATCTTGTCCCGCCGCCTCACCTCCACCACCACGGTAGGACACAGCCCCAACTTGGGGGTGAGGGGAAATGGAGCCCAGAAAGCTCAGATGGGAAGAGGGGTAGGGAAAGATTATCTAGGAGAAACACCTAAATCCAAGAGCCCTGTCCTGGTCTCGGCAGCTCACCCAAACTTGCTGTGTGTCTTTGAGGAAGTTAATGAACCTCTCTGAGTGGTTGCATCTATCAGATAGATGCTGATACCTGCCTTCCTCCCCTTCATGGGGAGAGCACAAGCTCTGGTCAAACCAGCAGGATTCATATCCCTGATCTTGCATTTCCTAGCTGTGTGGCTCTGGGCAAGTGACTTAACCAACCTGAGCTTCACTGTCCTTCTCTGTGAGATCGGGAAATAAACGCAATTGCAGTGTGTGGGAGCAAATGAGACCATGTAAAATGGCCGTAGTGTAGCAATAAGTAGAAGTTCAGAGCATCATTCTCAAAATATGAGTATGCCCCAAAAAGGCTTCTACAATGACAGTGACTCAACCATGCACAGCTTACAAAGGCTCCCACGTCCACATCTCGTCTGAAGCTTGCATCA